TCAGAAGACAGTGATACGTTTTTACGAAACAGAAACAGTTAAAGACCAAATTCTTTTCAAGCCTCATAACTCTAAATATGCCTAATAAAAAAATACTTTATTATAGGTGTTTGGAAAGCCCTTGAAATAAGCTATAAGAATATTTAATAAAAAGTGGGGGGTCAATTTTAAAAATTCAATTTGACCTTCGTATGACCTTCATCCTCCACCCAAAGTCACATTTTTAGCCATCATTAGGTACATTTTATTAAGCCCTACAACTTTGCTACTTACATATTTTTTGCTACAGTTGATCCTTTTCGAGATATTTGACCGTTTCTGGACTTTTTGCCAACCCTGTATATATGTATGTCCTTTTATAAAAACAATGTATATGAATATATGACAACATTGTTATGTAAGATAAACTCGTGTATTATGGCCATAGCGGAAAGATGGCCATAGACTATAATTTTTCTAATAATTGCAAAACATTGCGTTTGTGTAATTAGTCACAAAGATAATCGATATTTATCGTAGTGTATATGCATACATTTTTCGAAATAGCAAGATTATGAATATTATATTTTTATTTTCGATTATTATATTATATTTTTATTTTCGACTACCTGTAAAATTTTTCATGTGTCCACTGAAATTTACCGCACCGTCAAATAAATTACAGTTTAGCTATCGCAATCAACATTAGATACATAAAGTAGGGTATGTAAATTGTAATATAACATGCATTTTTATTTTCATTTTCACTATTTATTAATAAGTACTATTATAACCGTCTTTCACTCACATTTTGCGTAAAATGGCCTACTATCATTCTAACATTTATAAAACAAAAGCCGTTATATTTCAATAATTACTTTCAATATTACAGTAATTTAATTTTATATGTAATATGTTTTGATAAAAAATTGGATTTAGAATTTAAGTTTAGTAAGTTTAGAGGTTTCTATTTTTTATTAAGTTTAAGTTTAGAGATTTCTATTTTATGTGTATTTTATTTTTCACAAATAATATATATTAAATATATTATATTAAAATGAATATGTCAAATTGTTTTTTTCATTATTTTATAAAATAATAGGTACAGAATCTTGAACATAAAATATGTACGGGTCACTTATTCTTTATGGCCATCTTGTCTTAAAAATTTAGGTAAGATGGCCAATGCTCATATTGTGATATTTTTATAATAAATAATTTCACTAAAGTATTTTCCTTTTAACTCTGATATATTATGTACTGTAGGCAGTGAAGTAATGTGCCAAACGCTATTAAGAAATAACAATAAGAAATGTATTTTTTGCATTTTAAAAAAGTATGGCCATCTTATCGTAGTTTACTCTATGTATCTATTATTATTATCGTCCTTATACATTGAAATGTTTTTCGATTATATATTCTGGATATCAGTACTAATCGCCTATTATTATGAGGAAGTTCGATGAGAACATGTTGCGTATATTATCGAGTAGATTAGGCGGCTACAGATAGCGTCACTGTCATATGGGAATATTTCCACTTATTTTTCGAAAAGTCCGTATGTCGGAAAATTATATTGTTATATATGGTTGGATTCGGCATAAAATATACTTTTTTTGAGTGGACACAAATTTTAAAATAAAAAAAATTAAAATTTATTTAAAAAATTGATGGGAGTAAGTTGACGATTATAATATTTTTTAAATATTTGGTTGTCACTGCAAAGTATTCCTAAAACCATTTAATTTTTGTCTAGAAAAATTGTTTCTATCTCTTATACTTTTCACGAAATATGTTCCTAAAGAAAAAAACCGATTTTTCTTCAAAGGGGAGTTTTGCCCCCTAAAAGTCCGCCTGGGCATAAAAAAATACGTGGCTCTTTTTTTGGTTTGAATTTCAATATATTTCAAACTGATTCAAATCGTGGTGAAACATTTATGCGGGGTTCTTTGTTAGTATTGAGTCTCAATAGTATTTTTCGGTAAGGGATGGTAGGGATTAATTCATACCTCGTACAATTCATAACTCGTACAATTTAGCTATTGTCCATTTAATGGTCGATATATGAGACGGTGCGTTGCTTGATGAAACAGCACCTTTTGCGTGCCAATTTTAGCCGTTTCGTTCTTCACTCTGTTCAAAGCAAAAATCCAGTAATGTTTTATAGTACATTTCTATTATTACATTTCTGTACATTTCTGTACAGAAATGTACAGAATAATTTCCGCTGTGATGTTTCCCATCACTGCGGACCATATATGGACAGCAAGTCTTAAAGAATAGTAACCTTTAACTTTGAGAGACAACAGGTGTACATTTGGTATAGTAACAATGTTTCTTTCTGTAGTCGCCGTGCGCTCGGGATCGCACCAGAGATGTTGCTTCCGAATGATATCTCTGTGCATTATCTAGGTAGAGGAGAGTGTCGTGAGCGTGGAGCGTCAAATAGCTCAGTGGTTTAAAACAGTCGCCCGGCAAGTGAAAGACCGGATTCGAGTCCCGGTCTAACAAACCGCGCTCTCGATATTTTTCTCTCTCTGGAACGAAAAGATATGCAGTCTCGAACGCACGGCGTGCCGCTGCCATTTAGTACGCCCTCCTCCTTCTATGGTTTTGCGACTACAGAGAGAAACATTGTAACAAATGGTATAGCTGTCAGTCTCTCAAAGTCAAAGATTGCTATCCTGCTGTCCATGTATGCCCGTCTCCACCGATGGCCCTCCTCATTCGATGCAAATAATACCCGGGGTCGACATCAATTTTTTGGCAGCCACCGGGTGTTTGGACGCAATGCGCCGTGGGGGATCCATCATAGAAGGAGGAGGACGTATTAGGCGTTCCTGTTATTGTTTGACAAATAGTTAATGAAAATGATTTCTTGGAAATCCCAAAATCTTGTAGCCATTACTTTGCCGGCTGACAAAATCATCTTGGTCTTCTTCGGTGCACTTTTACCAGTTGCTATTCACTGCTTTGACTGCCCTGACGAAAATAAAACTCTATAAACCGTTCGAAGAGAATTTCCTGAGAGTTTATACGCTTTCAAACTTTGTATGAACGTTTATTTAACATCGTTGGATTTTGAACGCTTTCAGAACGTTTTCAAAACTTAACAAATGCTATATATAATATTTTGTGAAAGTTCTGCAATGCTAAAGCAATGCTTTTCAAAATACGCCCAGTAAATGCTGATACACTTTCGTGCAGAGAATTTGCTGTTAGATTTTTAAAATGTTTAAAAAACATTTTTCACACAACGCCGTAAGACAAGTATTTTATCTCCGTTCAGCAAACGCTCTTTTAATACGCAAAGGCCTTTTAAATGCTACAGTGTTGCAATTTCCGCTCTACTGACAATTTTTAAACTCTCAACAAACTCCCGTAAACGCTTACGTAAACGCTAAACAAACGTTTATGAAACTTTTTATTTTCGTCAGGGTGTTGCTTCGACTTAAGCGTATAGTGGTGGATCCAGATTTCGTCCACCGTCACAAATCGACGCTAAAAGGATTGTAGATTGCGACTAACCATCGCCAAACTTTATTTCGAAATGTCTTTTCGCGATCGTGTTTGGTTGATAGTCAGTAATCGCGGCACCCATTGCGCACACAGCTTCTTTATATATAAATTTTCATGTACGTGCACATGTGTACTCATTTATTTAAGATGCCTACAGTCTCAGCAATATCACGCACCTAACCGGCGATCTTCCATAACGATTCCATGGAATTTTCGACGATTTCTGGTGTGGTAATCTTAACTGGACATTTGGAGTGCGCTTTATTTTCAACGGATGTTCGACCACGTTTAGATTTATTCATCCAAAAGTAAATAGTTGTTAACAATAGTGCAAGATCCCCATAAACTTCTTCTAACTCAGCTTTAATCTGCGCAGCCATCTATTTTTTTAAATAAAAATGTTTGATAACTATATCGTTCTCTTGTTTTTCTATTTTCGAAAAATTTGCTAACACGGTCGATTAAAATGTCTTTCAAACGTGAACACGCGTTACTTTTGACTGCTGTAACATACTTTGAAAAGTAGTTCTTATCAGTCACATGTTATAAAACATAATGTGGCGCCATGTCTTGAAAATACTTGTTAAACGATCCTCATATTTCACGGTTCCACGCGAACTATACAATAATTTAATGTAATTAAGGAATGAATTATTAAATAAAATTACATTTTAGTTACTCATAATTTTTTTTCAATAATTGTAATTTCATAGATGTGTGAAAATAGCATGAAACAAATGATCTTCTTTAAAGTCGATTATCTCGAAAAGTTTACATTTAATAAAAAAATGTTCCAAATAGGAAATATTTGTTTGTATCCTTACTTTCATATAAAATAATAAAAATAAAAAATAATAAAATATTAAAAATTAGTTAAATAAAAAAAGATATTTAATCTTTGTTTGCCTTATAATAGTGCTACCTATAATATAATTAATAGTGCCATTTAATGTCCTCTTTAATACCAAACAAATCTTATCTGTAATATTTTTTCACATAATACATATTTCACGAGATATTTGTCATTAACATTATAAATTGTGTACTCTATATACAACATTTTATATTAATTAGATATTTTTTTGTAAATTTAATTTTAACAGAGCATATATATTTTGTTTTCTAAGTTAAATAAAATTGTCTCTAAAGATATGCATAAATATTTTTTAGGAGACGAGGTTATTTATTTAGATCCTCACACCACGCAGAAATCAGGTAGTGTTGGAAACAAAACTGACGAAGAAGAAGTTGAGATGGATACTACGTATCATTGCAAATTAGCTAGTCGTATTCCTATCACAGGAATGGATCCTTCTGTGGCACTTGTTAGTATATTTTGTAGTGTTTATTATAAATTTAAAGTAGATAAATAATTTAAATGTTGATGTAGTTATTAATTCGATAAACCTATAGATTAGTGTACTCCTCTCGAATGACGCTGACCTTGACATATGTTGTAAAGGTCATGACTCTAATTAACATTTAGAAGGTTTTAATCCTTGCTCTTTGTTTCTTAAAAAGTTATGAACAAAAAATTTTTATTGATGGATTAGGTTAAAGCTAGGTTTTTTGGGGAATTCAGAGGAAGGGCTCTGCTCCTCCCCCGCGCGCATACTGATACTGTTTTACATATGCACATAAATTTTCTATAAACGCTACTTTAGTGTACAGTGTCGCAAAACTAAGTCTTATTTATGAAATATTTTTGTTCATAACTTTTTAATGAACAACGAGTAAGATTGATATTCTTTTCGAGGTTACTCAGGTTTATGATGTTTACAACATGTGTCAAACTTAAATTCAATATTTATACGCAATGTCGTAAAAATGTGTTGTTCATAAAAAAATTTTTTTTATAACTTTTTAAAGAACAAAGAGTAAGAGTTAAAATCTTCTGAATGTTAATTAAAGTCATGACTTTTACAACATATGTCAAACTCAGCATCATCCGAGAGGTGTACACAAATCTATAGGTTTATCGTTAACCCCTTGAGTACGTAATGTATATATATGTACATCTTAAAAAAAAGATTTATCCTTTTGCGATTTGTATGAAGCTTGGTATCTTATAATTTTTGAAAATTTTTAATCTAAATATAATATCAGAGTCAAAATTCAAAATGGCAGATCCAATATAGTGGATCAGAAATTGGAAAATAATTGGATTTTTATATTTTGATCCGCCATATTGGATCTGCCATTTGAATTTTGAAATTCTGATATCATGTTCGAATTCAACAACTTTGGAAACTTTACTACTAAAATTGTAACGAAAATGTAAGAACATTTTTTTTCACACACCGGTGGCACGGAAGTCTCATTTTCGTCACACAGTTAAACCGTTAATTCAATTCTAGATTTGAGGCTTTCACGGCCATTGATACAATGTCTAGGTATAGCTTCCGGAATGGAGCCGTGTCTTGAATCAGCGATATGCCGACGTTTCGCAAACGTTGCAGTTTGCATCATCAGGGCTGAGAACTCTGATACTGAGC